TTTTCAAGCAGCCATGACATGCACGGCCAGGCTGGGACAGGAGCTATCTAGGAAGGACCCTTAGTTACCTTCCCCAAACTCCCTAAGATCCCAGCACATACCTTGAGAGATGGGACGAAGGTGGACATAGGAGGCAGGGGCCCCGCAGGCCCCCATGCCTGGCTTACCTATGCTCTGACGCCCTGCCTGACACAGTAGACTGCCAAGGCCATTGGGTAGGTCTAGCCCTCTCCATTGTCCTGCACAGGTGGTGTGGTTCCAAATGCTAATACAGTAACCACAGCTGTCCACACTACTGCCACACTAAGTGAGGCCACTGGCCGCAGGCAGGGGACTGGGGATGAGCCCAGAAGAATCTAGAGAGTCCTGGGAGCAGCAGCCCTCCCTGCCTCCAAACCAGGTCCCCCCAACTCCACTTAGACCATTCCAGCCATGGTCTACCCTCCCTCCTAGGATGCTGGCAGAAAGGGAGGAGGGGGCTTCAGCTTACCTCCCACCCCCACCCTCGGGCCCTGTGTCTCCTCCTGAGTCCCTCCCAGAGTCCCCTCAGTGTGGGGCTCCATCTTTCCCTCTAGCTGGGCTTTCCAACTCCCTGTGCTTTCGTCCTCCTCCCCTTCCTGGGGCTCAGCGCAGCCCAACCATGTTGATGGGCCAGGGGAGGGGGACGGAGGGCAGAGCCTGAGATGTGTCCTATGCCGGCATCTTGAAGATTCCTGTTCTCAGCAGAGCAAAGGAGCCGCTGGCGCTACTAGCCACCTTCCACCCCGGCCTCCTGCCACTCTCCTCCCCCCACATCCCTGCCCCTGAGCCACAGAAACAGCCAAGCCGAGTCACTGTTTTGGCTCCCCCTGTTCTCCTCTCCTGAAGCAACTGCAGTCCAGTCCCTGTCCCTTGGGTTGCCCCTTGCCTATCCAGAGTGGAACCTCAGCCATGGGGCCATTTGTAACCATGGTAAGGAACCTTGCTGAGAGCAGGAATGGCTCAGCAGGCAGGGGCACAGAGAGCATATGACAGGACAGAGAGAGGCAAGTTTGGGGACAAAGAGAGCCAAGTGTGGGGACAGAAAGAGGGTCAGGGTACAAGAAGATTTGGCAGAGGCAGCCAGGCAGAGCGATGTCCGGGACGGCAGAGCCCTGTGTGGGCAGAAGGTCAGCAGTCCCCAGAGCATAGTGTCGACTTCCTCTGAGCCAGGCTGGGGTTGGGGTGGGTGGCCTGCTCCTTGGGGTACCCAGCCCCAGCGGGTATAGAGGGGCACAGTACTCACTATTGGATGGGAGCAGAACGGCCGCTGACAAGCCAGGAGCGTCGTGCCCACCTCGGGCTGGGGCTGGAACTCCGGGGGACTTGGCTGGGGGGCTGGGCCGGCCGGGACAGCTGCTGCTGCTGATGTCACAGGGTCATGAGTGAAACCTGAGGACTGGGCCAGTCTTCAGGTGGGAGCCTCGGCCACACTTCCCTTGCCGGGTGTGCTCTGGGCTCAGCCTGGGCTCTCAGCCTCACTGCCCCGGCAGTGACAGACTGTGCCACACTTGCCCATTCACACATATACACACACACACTGGACACACGTATGAGCCCACATAGGCAATTCCTCCCCCAAACTTGACAAACGTACACAGGCATTCTCACATTGGAATCCCCTCTCACACTTATTCCCAGGAGCACTCCCATGGCACACACTGACACACTCACAGAGAGTCACTCTGGTAAGCACTCGTGTACACCCCCATACTGTGCTCCCACCCACTCAGCCCTACACACAGATCCCCCTCCGTACATCCACACAAACATTTCCGCTGCTGTTATACCGTTCACACACACGTCCCCAGTTCACATTTACACACTTACACTCCCTGTTTGCATCAGGCTTGGGCATATATGTACATACAGCTTATATACTGACTCATAGGCACACACATGCCCCGATGAACACAAACGTCACATGTCATGGACGTGAGACTTTCACTGAGTTGTGTGTCTGTGTGTACACACAGCCACACCCACAGTCGTGCTCATGCATTTACGTATTTTCAGTCCTGTGACTTATATTGGTGCAATGGCTTGTGCCCACACACATGTGCTCTTGATCACAGCGACCAGGGCCATCTATCATGTCCCTAGACTTGTGTTAAACTTATGCCAATCTGTACACCTATGGCCATGCCTCACATCACACATATAGAGACACAGACACACACAGAGCTGTTTAGCTGGACCACACAGAAGTCTCCAGGGGGTGTTTATGACCCCTCCATCACCACCCCACTGACTAGACATCTGTCTCCCGGCTTAGGGAGCAGAGTGGAGGGGGAGGAATGGGGTTGGCTCAGGCCCTTGCCCCACCTCCCCACTCTGGGCTGTGGTGACCTCTAGTGGAGCTGTTGTGAAATGCCTCACAGCGGGTGTCAAGAAACGCTGGGGGAATCTTGTCCCCCAAGTGGCCCCAATCTTCCTAAACAGGCCCTTTGGCAGTCCCCTGCCCATCTCTGACATCATCTGTCCTGGCAGCCCAGAGCTTCCCTGCTACCTGGTGGCCCCCAGTGAGCTGAGGCCAGGACAGAGTGGCCTTTGAGAGGGGCACAGAGGAGACCTAGGGAGTGATAACCTTTGACATGGGATGGGTCCAATGGCCCCTGTCCCCAATGGCAACTCTGCCCAGATTCTGTGGACACAGCCTCAGTGTCCACTTGGACCCTTCTGGGGAGCCAGCCCTGTTTGAGAAGTTCCTGCCAGGCTGAGATTTCCTGCATCTTAGTCTTACTCACGGTGGCCTTCAAAAAGAGTCACCTCGCACCCTCAGGGGTGTTCCCTAAACTCAGGCATAAGCATTGCTGTCCTCCATAGAAAGGATCCTCAACTTAAGACTGTTTGACTTGGGATTTTTTGACTTTGCAATGGGTTTACTGGGATGTGGCCCCACTGTAAGTTGAGGAGCATCTGTACGCAGTTCTTCATGCCGCTTTGTTTCCTGACCTTTCTGACAAACGTTCCCATGTTTTGTTCTGATGAAATCCAAGTGCCCACCTTCCCCCATCTCTTCTTTGCAAGGGTCTGCTGCTTCTCGCATCCAGAGGGAAAGTGAACATGTCTTCTCATAGCCTTCCCACAATGTCTCCCTAACACTGCTTCTCGGGGTCCTTATCATGCCCAGCCCCACCGTGGCTCCAGTTTACTTTGCTGCCAGTCACTGTCTGGAACTCCTGGTCACTGCCCCCTTTCTGTGGGGGTGGGAGGAGAAGTGAAGGAGTCACTGTCAACCTCATTTATGGGTCTGCCCTTTGGTCTCTGCCTGCCTGGCCACTGCCCACAGCCCTATGGGGCAAGATTTGTCATAAGAAGGGACTGGAGTAATTGGAGGGGATTGCTACAGCTGAGGGCAGGGCCACTACACTCAGTTGTACAAGTTGTGCACTACACAATTCTGGGCACCAATCGCATTTGAAGTCATTATAGATTAGTATATTTGAGATGGTAATTTTCTGGCAAAGGGCAGCAAAACGTCTAGGGGAAGGGGCTAATTTGTCTAATTTGTACAGTCTCATTTGGATTAGGGAAGGGGGGAACTGGAATCAAAAACTGTATGTTAAATAGAACTTTTTCCCATAGCCCAAGGGGAAAGAATGCTTCCCTATCTTGGTAACAGTATATCTTCTTTCTTTGGAGGGAATTCTTCTCCTCTACCCCAAATATGTAATTCTGTGCAGCTGCTAATTACAGGATGGCCACTCTATCCCTGCCACAGGGACAGGTCACATATATCTGGCCAATCCTCATGGCCATAGAGGTTGGGCCCAAAGCTGGGCACATGACTCAAGCTGGGCCAATCACTGTCCGCCCCTGAGATTTATATGTACTGAGGCAAAAAGAAAATCTCCCTCTTCTTGACAGTCTCTAAGTCTGTCTGCAGTAATTGAAGTAAGTCTGAAGGTGCCTGTGGTGTGTCTCTCACCTGTGAAGGAGGGAGCAAGACCATCACACACAGAAGGGGCGATGCAGGAGAGGGAAAGAAGGAAAGAGAGAGGGGTCTGAAGACACGTTTGGTCCCTGAGACAGTTAAACTATAGGACAGCTCCATCACTCTCTGAACTGAAAAACCACCCTTTCCCCTTACCCTAGTTTAGACTGAGTTTTGGTCACCCACAAACAAGAGAAGTCTTTTTTTATTGAGAGAGTCTTATTATGTCACCCTCGGTAGAGTGCTATGGTATCACAGCTCACAGCAACCTCAAACTCAGACAAGAGAATTCTGAAAAAGAGAACCAACTCTCAGAAAATCCTATTCTGGGCCAGCCTTGGTGACTCATGCCTGTAATCCTAGCACTCTGGCAGGCCAAGGCAGGTAGATTGCTTGAGCTCAGGAGTTTGAGACCAGCCTGAGCAAGAGTAAGACCCTGTCTGTACTAAAAATAGAGCAAACTAGCTGCCTGTATTCCCAGCTACTTGGGAGGCTGAGGTAAGTGGATCACTTAAGCCCAAGAGTTTGAGGCTGCTATGAGCTGTGATGACACCACAGCACTCTATCCCAGGGCAAGAGAGTGAGACTCTATCTCAGAAAAAAGAAAAGAAAAGAAAATCCTACCCTGTGTCCTGGCACAGTGGCTCATGCCTATAATCCCAGAGCTTTGGGAGGTGGAAGGGAGAAATCACTTGAGGCCAGAAGTTCAAGGTTACAGTGAGCTAAGACTGTGCTACTGCACTCCAGTCTGAGAAACAGAGCAAGTTTCTGTTTCTTAAAAAAGAAAAGAAGGCAGGATGCCGTGGCTCACGCTTGTAGTCCTAGCACTCTGGGAGGCCGAGGAGGGTAGACTGCTTGAGCTCATGAGTTCAAGACCAGCCTGAGAAAAGTGAGACCCCCGTCTCTAAAAATAGAAAACTGAGACAAGAGGATCACTTGAGTCCAAGAGTTGGAGGTTGCTGTGAGCTATGACGCCACGACACTCTACCCAGGGCGACAGCTTGAGATTCTGTCTCAACAATAACAACAACAACAACAAATAGCACTATGTTGAACACATTTGAGTATAATTTTTTCCCCCATGTTCAGCTTATTTCCAGATAGAGATTTAGCAAGGCAGTTGAGGAGGACTTTCGGTATGTATTGTTTTGAGACAAAAAAAGAAAACCCCAAAAACAAAATCCAAAGATGAAAACAACAGTTTGAGAAAAAGATGAAAGGAAATAGGTGGAGTATTCAACATCTCGAAGAAAATAATAGTAGACGGGGCACGTAGCCGGAAAGTCACCTCCTATTCTGTTGTACTGACTTGAGTTCTTCTGTGAGTGAAATACTTCAGGCAGATAGAAAAACATGAGTCCCCTTTCTTCAACCAGTATGTACTTCAGTTTCCTTTCACAAAGAACCCAAATTGAATACCAGAAATAAGATAGCTTGGTAATCTTGGTCTTGTTTTCTAAATTACCAATTTCATGTGTGGTTAACATGCAACCTTCAGCTTGCTCCGGGCTTCATTCAGCAGCGGTCCTCAACCTGTGGGTCGCGACCCCTTTGGAGGGAGTTTGTAACAATGAAAATATATCCTGCATATCAGATTTTACATTACGATTCATCACAGTAGCAAAATTACAGTTATGAAGTAGCAACGAAAATAATTTTATGGTTGGGGATTACCACAACATGAGGAGCTGTATTAAAGGGTTGAGAACCACTAATTTAGAGGGATGGTAGCCTCCCTGCCTCCAGCTTTACCTCCATTGAATCCATTGGCCCAGACTAATTTTCTTCAACACCTATTTCACTTCCCTGAATACAAATGTATCATGTACTACTGAAGTCACTTTGTCCAGGAATTTTCAGCCTGGTGGCAGGCATGGAGAGAGGAGGTGGGCCTTGAATCAAGGATTGGGAAGCAGGTGGTTTCTTTGGAAGGAGATCCTGGGAGCACGATGAAGGAGTGGAGAAGGGAGTGGGAAAAAAGAAAAGCCAGTAAAGTGTACACCATGAGTGGCCCTCTGTAGGGACAGCTGGGGTGCAGGCCCATGGCATCACCAAGAGGCTCTGAGAAAGACACCTCAAGGTCGGAAGCAGTGGCTCACGCCTGTAATCCTACCACTTTGGGAGGCCAAGATGGGTGGATTGCTTGAGCTCTGGAGTTTGAGACCAGCCTGAGCAAGAGTGAGATCCTGCCTCTAAAAATAGCCAGGTGTTGTGGCAGATGCCTGAAGTCCCAGCTACTTGGGAAGCTGAGACTAGAAAATCACTTGAGTCCAGGAGTTTGAAGTTGCTGTGAGCGATGATGTTACGGCATTCTACCAAGGGCAACATAGTGAGACTCTGTCTCAAAAAAAGAAAAAAGAAAGGCACCTTAGAGCTGTCTCACTGAGGCCAGGAGGGTGGGAACTTAGCTCCCTATGGTCTGAGGGCTGCCCCTGGGCCGCCTTCTGGCCTGTCACCTAGAGCCAGAAAATGCCCACAGAAGGAAGGACAGAGAGTGAGGGTAGGAATCCTCTGCAGAAGATCCTGGGGGAGGCTGGGAGTTGTGGGCCAGCTTGGACAGCTTCTCTACAGTTAAGAGCTCTCTCTCTATGTATACAGATGGTGCCAAAAAGTGTATACACATTTTAAGAAAAGAAAAAACTATATTAAATTTGTCATGTTTGACTCCCGCAATTATGACAGGTATTGAATGTGACTTGTTACCAATATATATTTTGTATTACAATTTTAATACAGTTTTTTCCTTTTTTTCTTTTTGAGACAGAGTCTGACTTTGTTGCCCTCTGTAGAGTGCTGTCATGTCACAGCTCACAGCAACCTCAAACTCTTGGGCTTAAGTGATTCTCTTGCCTCAGCCTCCCAAGTAGCTGGGTCTCAGTTTTTTTTCTTTCTTAAAATGTGTGTATCTTTCTTGATCCCCTCTGTATACATACACATGCACACATATGCATATATACATATAGATGTGTATATGTATTATTTTTAAAACAAAAATAAGATCTTACTCTGCTTACTAATATTACTGCTCAACTCTCTTGGACCTCGTTCCACATCAGTAGAGATACCCTATCCTCTAAATGGTCCATGGATGAATAGCATTCCTCTATGGGGGAGGGGATGTCTCCATCAGGCATTTGTTATTTATAATCCACTCCTTTCTCCACTCCTTCGTGTAAGGAACAGATGTATCTTCCACATCACCCCTTATTTCTCTCCTGCTTGAAACCCGCCAACGGTTTTCCATTACCCATAGGGTGAAGCCTCAATTCCACAGCTTGGCATTGGAGTCTGACCCATAACTGACTGGGCTACTGGGACCTCTGCTCTCTGCCCTGTCCCCCCTCCCCAGCCAGTTTGACCCATAAGATCATGGTTCCTGTCCATTCCTGCATCTGTGCCTTTGCTCAGGCTGTGTCCCCAGCCTGTGTGACCTTGTCCGTACCATGATGCTTGGTCCCCATCATGGGCCGCTCTTCCTCAGAACTCCATCTTTCAGTGACCAAGTCTTCCCTTTTTCATTCTCCGTGGGGTATAGTCTTATATTTCTGTTCTCTCTTCGTAGGTACATTTTCAGTTTCCAACAATGCTGGACTCAGGGACAATACCCCTCTGTGTCTCCAGTGTGCCGACAGCACTTTGCCCACACAAGCACTGCCTTGGTCAAGGTTTGTTGATGGCTAGTACGATGGTTGGTTTTCTGTCTACCTGCAAAGTGGGTGGAGATGAGAGATGCGCCTCTGTGCTCCATTCACTGCAGCCTCTGACCACACTGCCCAGATCTCAGCTTATTCATGGTTCTTGAAGCAATGAGACCCACTGAGTCAAGGGCACCACTCACAGCCCCCTCCCCCAGGGAGGGAACAAAGGGGGGGTGGTCTTTCTGATTCTAGACTCCAGGACCCGCAGGAAGGGGAGCAGAACCCAAGTGGAGGCTGAGGGAAGGGCAATGCAGGGGGTGCTAATCCCAGCTTCCTGTCTGGATTTTCCTAGACTGCTGCTCAGGGCCTATCTTAGGATGGTCACAGCTGCTGAAATAGATCTCCCCCTTCACCTGTTCTGAAGCACACAGACCTTGCTAACTTCCTGTCATAAGAATGCACGCTTTGGTAACTTTTCCAGTAACGGGGGACAGTCCTGGGGAGGAGGTGCTGAACTCATCACAATCCCCCGCCTCTGAGGAGCAGCGGCTCACCTTGGCCAGGAATCAGTGAGAACAGCTGTGAGGGGCGAAGCCTGGAGGCCGCCATGCGCTTCCCGCCAGGGCCCCGGCCCCTTCCGCAAATCCGGCCGGTGTTTCCTTCCTTGGGCACGCCAGAAGCCTCTCTGTCCGCAGGACGCACCGGTCTCTGGCTGACAGAGTAGCAGGAAGCAGAGCCTCTGCCCTGCTCACTCGCTTGCCCTGGCCCTCCAAGCTCGCTCCCACAAATTTCACTATTCCTGTAGAATCCATCAAATGAGTCAATCGGGTTCTGGGATCCCAGTCATTCACTTACTCACTCAACAAACAGTCTCTCTCGGCCCAGTCTGGGGATGAACGAGGGTGGGAGGGGCAGGAGGGGCAGGAGGGGCAGGAGGGGCAGGAGGATGAGGCCAGGCGCTGTAGACCTGCTGAGGTGGGGTTTGGAAGTGAACACCGGGGAGAGGGACCAACCCCCCTGGTGATGGGGCGGAGCGCCCCAGGAGGAGCCCGGGGCGAGTGTGGGAGGGGCCACGAGTTGGGATGTGCCTCGCGCCTGCGTGCGAAGAGATCTCCGCGTCGCCGGCGTCGCCAAGGTAACCGTGACCGCCGGCCATGGCCTCCGGGGCGAACGGGAGCTGGGGTCGCTCCGCACCACAGAGTGCCTCCCCGACGGTGAGGGCTGAGCCTACCTGCCTCGGGGGACGGCGGAGTAGGGAGCGGTCCCTGGACAGGCTGGACCCTGGAGAAGGATGGGGCCGGGGGGGAGGAGAGACCCCAAAACGAGAGGAAGAGGCTTGACTGGGCGCTAGGAGGCTGTGGGGGCGGGGAGGGAGAGCCGGGTTCCAGCAAGGTTAGGGAGGTGACTCGCGGGGAGAAAGGTGGGGCTTGTTACGTGCCCCCAACTCCTTCCTGCCTGGCTGAGTCTTCCCCCCGCACGCTGCAGCCCTGGGTGACCGTCCTGCAGTCCCCGGCGTGGACCGTCCCACCTGCGCCCCCGCAGCCGAGCCGCGTGAAGGAAGGTGAGACTCTGGAGTCAGCCTCGCATCCCCTTTTGCCCCCCCCACCCCCCGTCTCTCAGGGTTCCCCCTGCACAAATCCGCTCGCTCCCCGCCATTCCGCGCCTGCGGGGCTGGGCATCGAGGGAGAGACCTGGGTACCCGGCAAGGGTGGCAGGGGGAGGAGAACCCCGGCGTGGGCTGGCAGAACCCGCGTCCCGTAGACCTGCTGGAGCTGATGATGCTGCAGAACGCGCAGATGAACCAGCTGCTGCTGAGCCGCCTGGTGGCAGGGGCGCTGAACTGGCCTGTCCCGCCCAGCCCACAGGTGCGTGGGGGTACGGCCCCGGGAGGTCGCCCCATGGAGGTCCAGGGGTGGAGAAACACACGGGGTCCCTCCTCGATTAAGAGGACTGGGGAACAGAGGAGCAAAGGCCTCCACACCTTTCTGGCAGGGACTTATAGGCCTCTATTACATGTGTATCAGGCCCTGTCAGGCCCATGTCAGCCTCCACTGGGGAAGCGGGGCCTCCCGAACTAGACCACCCAGGTCTTGCTTTCAAGGAGGATTCCCTGCGTCGCATACCCCACTGGACTTCAGGCCCCAGGAGGGCAGGTCCTAGTGGACCTGGAGGATCATTATGTGCCTGACTTAATGATCTTAATGGAGCCTGACACTTTTTAGGTTCAATTGATATTTGCTGAATGCATGAATAAATAAATGAATGATTATAAATACAAGTCAAGCTGGCTGTCATGGCATGTGAGAGGTGCAAAGGGGGGTGTGCACTTGGTTGGGGGCTGCAGAAAGGCTCCTTGGAGGAGTGAGGGTTCTTAGAATCAGCCCTTGAAAGCCAGGTAGGATTTTGACTCTTGGGCGGGGTGGGGGGGTGGGGCGAAAGGTGTTTCCATCACCCAGGCTGGCAGGGGCAGAGTCAAGAGCCAGAATGGAGGATATCCTGTGCTTGTGTGTATGCTGAGCCCTACTCAGCCAGCAATGGGCTCCTGAGAGGTTAAAAGATGCAAGGGCTGAGTAGAGAGAGGATGCTGGCCAGCTGAGTGGCAGCAGAGAGGGCCTTAAAGAGTCCAGGCATAGGGAGACTCTGAGGAGCTGCTGCCATCTCTCAGCCCAGGCCCTCAGGGGGCTCTCGGGGTGAGCACCCACCTGACTGATGGGGCACAAGTGAGTCCAGGGGCTGGGAGTGAGGCCAGGGGCAGTTCAGGGGACTTCCAACCCCAGCTCTGGAGCACACCTGGAGTCTTCCAATCCCTGCTCTGCCACTTACTAGCTGGGTGACCTCAGACAAGTTGCTCAACCTCTTTGAGCTTCAGTTTTCCCACCTACAAAATAAGGAACACGTGTCTCCAAATGCTTTGCATGTAGTAAATGCTCAATAAACAAACAGTAGACATTGTTATGTTACACATCTGGAGGAAGTCACTTAGGGGCTGGGGGTGTGAGCACAGGGCCAGCCGGATCCTCTTCTCTCATTTCCCCGCCCCGTTTTACACAATCCTCAGGTCTACCTGGAGGGTCACCAGGAGTGTGAGGAGGAGGAGGAAGATGAAGAGGAGGAGGAGATGGAAGGGCCTTTGGTGTTTCACCACCATTACCTGCCCTGCCTGGTGCCCTCCCCAGGCCCCCTGCTGCCCTGGTCATCCCCTTTCCTCCTGCCTCCTCCATGTCAGCCCTACTCCCAGGATGTGCCCAGGACGCAGCACCATCTTCCTGCCTCTAGAAGGGAGGTGTAAGTGAGGCTGGGAACTCTGGGTGCTGCCAAGTTTCTATCTGGGGGCTGGGCTGGAGGACCAGCCCTGGTCTGGTGGTAGGGTGGCAACACATATGGGTGATACCCCAGAGTCACCCCTGGGCCACTGATAGGATCTTTCTTTTCTTTCCCCCATCTCAGTAGAGCTGTACCCCCACCTCCACCCCCTAGTGCCACGGGGACTGTGGGTGCTGATGTACCCCCAGCTTCAGGTAGGGCTGGGTGGGTAAGAAGTGGGGTCCAGGCTTTGGGGGGGGATTTGGAGGCCAGGAGGGCCATGTGCCCTAGGATGGGGGTGGAGGGTTCCTGCCATCAGTTCTGTGAACAACTGGCCTGCCCCCTTTTCCTTCTTGGGGTCCTCTGAGGCAGGAGGGAGTCAAGATGAGGGTACTGTCTCCCCAGACTACTATGATGCTGAGAGCCTGCCATGAGGATGGACACTGGCCCTGGGACCCTTCATCTTCGTCGCAGGGCTGGAAACAGGAGCCCAGACCCGCCCCTCTATTGTTAGCCCCTCTGACTCCCTCAGCTCCACCCTGGCCTTCTTTTGGATGAACCAGTCCTCTCTCCACCCCACTGAACTCCTGAACTAGCCTGATCTCTGCTTTGGAACTGATGGGCCTTAGAGCATTGCCCAGTCCTCAGAAGCCACACAAACACAGCTCTGCCTCATTGTTTCCTGCCTAGACCAGGCCCTCCCACTTCCCTCACCCTTTGCTCAGGGATGACAGAGTCTTCTTTTGTCCTAGCAGTGAGGCAGGAGAAGAGAGGAGGGAGCAGACTCCTTCTGTTTTCCACACTTTTAACTCCCACCGTGAGGTGGATAGGGGAGAGGCCTGAGTAGGCAAGGCTCTGGTGCCAAGCCAGTTCCTTGGGGCCCTAACCTCAGGAAGCTGGCTCTGTTGGCAGGAGTGGCCTAGGCCCTGGAGGGCCAGGTGGAAACGGAGTGTCCCAGGCCAGGGTGTGTCTCCCTCAGTAGGAATTAGTCACTCAGGGCTAGAAGGAGGCTGGGAGAGAGAAGTCCACCCTGGTGGCCTCCCTTTCCTGCTGAGTTTTACCCCAGGAGGAGACATTGAGGGCATAGGGTTAAGTCCAGGTGTTTGTTGTATTCAGGCTAGAAAAGAGAGTCTCTGGTGTCCTCTGCTGCTTGTCACAGCCCTTCAGGCAGGGCTGAGGAGCCATACTGAGTTCTAGTGACCACCGTGGCAGTGGCTACACCATTCACGCAGGCTGTGCCCGGAAGGCCTGGGGCAGCCTCTTCCAAGCAGCTCGCACCCCATAAGCGCCAGTCCGCCTCTGCCGCCAGTGCTGGCTGAAGACAAAGCATAGCAGGACGGACGTCACAAACAAAAACAGCAGGACCGACACCACTGTGACGATGATGATCATCTGGCGGTCCTGCACAGGCTCTGGGGAGGGAAGAGATGGTGGTCTTAGAAGCCCTCTGGTTCCAAGTGCCAGTGCCCAAGGGAGAGAGGAGAGACACCCATCCCCTGCCCACTCCAACTTGTAGTCACCCTGCGTTGCAGAGTAGAGTCTGTCCAAAAATATTATCTGCGAGAAAGGAGGCTTGGGGTCCAGGCTTCTAGACAGACCTGAGACTGTGAGGGCAGATGTGCTTGCTAGACACCATGGCCTAGGGCAGGGGTCCTCAAACTTTTTAAACGGGCCAGTTCACTGTCCCTTAGACCATTGGAGGGCCAGACTGCGGACCCCGGAACGAGTCGGCTGCTAAGCAGGACAGGCAGTGGCGGCAAAAACACCCAGCGGGCCGGATAAACGTCCTAGGCGGGCTACATGCAGCCCACGGGCCATAGTTTGAGGACACCTGGCCTGGGGGTGGCACGGTCCAGGTTGACCCCCTCAGGCAGCACTGAGTAAGCTTCATGCCAAGCTCCCTAAAGGAAGGGAACATCTGGGCCATCCAGAGTCACTGAACAGCAAAGCTCTGGGGACCTTAGGATCAGTCAGGACAACCCTCTCTTTATAGGAAAGAGCTAAGGCAAGAAAGATCAGGTTGACTCTGTCCAGGTCATGAAGCTTGCTAGTGGCCAAGCAACTAGTTGAGCTCTCCTGACCGCTGTAACAGTCAAAGTCCAAGCTGGGGACTTGGCCAGAGCTTCATAGAAGAGGGTAAGAGGGATGAAATGTGGGGTCCTGGGTGTTTGTGTCCCAAGCTGGCTGAGAATAAGGCTCAGGATTTTTCTTCCCCCAAGGGGCTGAAAATGAGAGCCCTCTCTCTCCCGCTCCATTGCTGGGAGCCTCCTCACCATAGATCTCCAGCATCTGGGGATCTGAGACTCTGCGAAAGACTCCACCGCCATGAGACTTCAGGTCCAGCACAGCCAAGCAGGAGAAGTTGTAGTGTCTGTCCTCTCTTTGAGCCGAGGTGTTGAATGTGGCGGTAACCTCTTGGGGAGCAGGTGTTTGCCTCTCAAAGGTCTGGTTGTACAAGGTCTCACTGCCGCGGAACAGGGTAAGGGTGAGGTTCTCAAGGGGCTTCACGGCCGGCACCCTGCACTCAATGGTGAAGGGCTTGCCCATGGCCACCCAGGTGGGCTGCAGCTTCAGCGTGACCTGCTTTGGGGGCTCTGCAGGGGACAAAGGAAGGTGGTCTGGTCAGGATAGTGGTACACCTGGTGAGGGCCATCTCATGTCTCTGGTGTTCCAGGTCCCTGGTTGGACTTGTAGGGCAGGAAGGAAGAAGCCGGGCAGGGTGAAGGGGCGCAGGTGGTAGTTTCACAGGCATCATGGTTTCAAGAATGGACAAGATGGGGTGGCTCAGGTGTTTACAAAGAGAAGGTTAAGAAATTGTGCAGCCAGCTGGAAAGATAAAAGTTGGGCTCTGTCTCCCTCCCCTCCAGAAACTATTATAAATACAGATTTCAGAAATTGGGTAACTGTGTTGACAGAGACTTAGAAGGGAATGCTGACTAGAATTGGGCACTTGAGGAACTGAACTGTCAGCTTCCTTACTTAAGGATGGAGCTTAGGCCTTCCTTACTTAGGGATGCAGTCAGGCCTCCCCTGGTTCTCCAGGACCAGGCTCATGGCCACCAGGATTCCTTAAACAGGGCCCTGGATTCCCTCTGAACTAGAATAGCTAGTTGTCTCCTCACACCACCACCACCCCCTCCCCATATTCTCCTGAATACATTAGATTTAGGACACCTTTCCATCATCGGATGCACTGATGTTGGTGATGAGGAGAACCCAAGATGGTGAGAAAGTCCTGTCCCATCAGGAAGATTTTCATGGTTCATAGATTTTCATGGGCTCCTCAAACAGGAGAGAGAACACGACCTTCTCTTCCTGAACTGAAGGGCCCAGCTCTCCTGGGGGTGCCCAGTGACTAAGCGGCAGGGAGACTATGAACAGGGTTGGGAAATGACTTTCAGGCTTAGGTGAAACTTGGTTAGATCGTCCTCCCCCGAGCAAGACTCAAAACCGGACTCAAGGCATCCGGCCAAGGGTGGGAGCAGGTGCTGAGCTTACTGGCCTGGTTTTGTCACCCCAGGAGCTCAAGGAGACAGGGCCATGATGAGTGCCCAGGAGCAGTGGCGGAACAGATTTGTGAACATTCAGTACACACGGGCTCTGCCCTAGGGGAGAGGAGGGCCCCTCAGCGCAGCCACTCACTGTACACAAGGACGTTCGCAACTCTGGACTTCTGCTCTCCGGAGCAGGCGAAGTAGCAAAGCAGCTTCGTGTCCTGGGAGATGTTTGAGACCAAGTACTGCTTCCACTGAGGTCCCTGTTCCAGCAGAGTCTTGTGTAGGATAGTCTCCAGACCACCTTTTTCGGGCTGGTTACAACTGGTGCTGCAGTTAACTAGCTGGGACTCTGTGGACTCAACCACCAGTGTCTCTGGCCACATGTATACCTCAAACGCCTTCTCACCACACCCTGGAAGACCAGAAACACCAGGCAAAAGATGTCCCCACTGCCTTGCCTGTGGAGCTATCTGCTGCTATCAGTCAAGGGTCAGGGGCCCACACAGAAAGGCCCCTCTGCTCTTCCTCCTTGTCAGGCCTTACTGCCTCGTGGCTCAGATCAGCCTTCCTCTTGCTCCTGTCCCATCTCTGTGGGGAGGGATCCTGCTGGACCGTAAGGTCAGCCTGAATGTCCCCACCCCCAACAGGCCTCTCTCTGTCCTCAGTGGCCCTCCCTCTTTTCCTTTCTTCCACATAACCACTTTTGGACGTCTGCTATGTGCCAGGCCCGGGGCATGTGGGGGTAATCACAGCAGACCGAACCCTGCCCCAGCGGAGCCTCTGCTGTAGCGAGGGAGGTGGACAGGGGACAGTGAACAGCATTATAACCAGCCAGGAAGGGGTAGGGGGGCATTTTAATCTGCGTACTCAGCAATGGCCTCACCCTGTCATGTGGGCAAAGACATGAAGGGGGTTGCAGGCCCTGCAGGAATCGGGGGCAGTGACCCAGGGAAAGGAAAAGGCAGCTGCCAGTGCAAAGACCCCCGCCCCGGTCAGGAGGAGGTCTGGTGTGCGGGAGCAAGGAGATTAGGACTGTTCACTCCGTGAGGAGAAAGGCAGGGGAGAGAGGTAACAGGGCCACCTCGAAATGCTTCATGTTTGCATTGATGCCCCCTTAGACACAGTGCAGTGTCTAGCAGGCCCTGGTTGTGCATGTTTCTCTGTGGGTTTAGCACAGTGCCCTGTGCACGGCAGATACCCAGGAAGCACCTGGTATGTGAAGATCCAGTGCTCGGTGCCCACCTGCAGCAGCGATGTCCCAGAAGGGGCTTGATCCCGCCAGCTGGGCCCCGCCTGTGTTCTGTGCTCCCACTTCCCCTGTATACCTGCGCTCAGCTCTCAGCTAGCGGCACATAATGAGGTAACACCAGAGGGGCTCTGTGGGTGGGCAGCGCTGGATCTGAATCTGGAAGTTTGCCATGCTGGCTATGTGGCCTTGGGCAAAGTGCTTTCTTGCTCTTTGAAGAGCCTGAGTTCATCTGTCAAATGAGCTAGTAGTCCCTTTCCCTCAGGCTTGTCATGAGGGGTCACTGACACAGTGCTAGAAAAGCTCGTGGCAGGTTGTGGGAGAAACAGCGTGCTCAGCTCACAGAGACATTTTCCTGCATCCCCTTGACCCACTGAAAGGGGTTTCATTTTTGCTGTGACCACAGCCAGGAGAGATTCCCTACCACCTGTGCTGTCCCCGGGGCACAGCTGAAGACCAGCTAGGCACATGCCCTTGTCTTCCCTAAACCCCAGCGTCCCTTCACCTCCCGAGGACCCCACCCAGCTCACATCCACATGCCACTAACCCGTGGAGCCTGATGTTCAAAAGGTCAGGACCCCGACACTGCCCAAGGGCCGTGGGTGCCGGAAGCCAGTTTGGCACAGTATTCTGTACCTGTGGCAGGGTGGCCCCCGTGTTCAAAGCCTCAGCAACTTTGAGGCAGCAGGGCACCCTCACTGTCCGGGCTGGATGGGCCAAGTCAGAGCCCCCAGGCACCTAGCTCACCTGGGCAGCAGAGCAGAGCAAGGAGGGCGGCGGGCAGGCCCCAGCAACCAAACGGGGACATCTCTGGCGGTGTCCACAGGCTCCTGGGAAAGGGCTGAGAGCTGCCTGGAGGGAGACGGAGCTCAGGTCAGGGAGTGGTGACCTGGAGTCACAGCCCCAAGTCCCCAGCATTCTGTGAGCTGATGACTGCATTTCCTCTCATTATCTGAGTGGTCTCTGGGATGTTGGCCACCTCCCAGGGCCTGGGCCTCCAAGAATGCAGGCAGAGGAAATCAGGGAGCAGCTGATAAGCAAGGCATAATCCAGTCCTCCTGGCCACTCCCCACCCAGGGGCAGGGCAGGTGGTGGGTGTCTACATGTTTGAGCACTGTGTATACACACAGGAAAGAACGAATACTGTGAGCCCCGGTTCGAGGGAGCCCCAAATTCCACAGGATATATTGTTAGAGTCATCTCCATGAAGAGCATATCCAAAGTCAGAATCTGTTCAGGACACATAGTTCCCACAGCAAAGGGGACAGAGACCTGAGTTCTTCTAAGCAAACCTGGACAGGTCTTTGAGGTTCTCCTGCTAAATGCACAGCACAAGTCTGGTCAGAGTGAAACTGGGAGGCAGACAGGCTGAATCCTGCGCAGACCTTCCAACTCAGGGTAACGTGCCCAGTCAGGGAATGTCCACGTGACCATCCCTACCTGGGGAAATAGGCAGTGCAGGCAGCTGAGGCCATCAACTAGGAGCTTAGGCTGGAGATGCTGAGGTGTCCGCCTGAGGAGATGGGACTTCCTGTCCCTCCTCTCTTTTCCAGGTTCACCATTATCTGCCCACTTCAGATGTTCCATTACCCTACGTCCTTGCTTGCCCTTTACTCAACCTTCCTGGGGGCTGTCATCTCCCCCGTCTCATCTTTAACCTTGACTGCTGACTACTGACTGCCGTGCATCCTTGCACGGATACTCTGTTATGTACCCAATAAAAAAATTCCAGGAAACAGGACAGCTGCTGCCTTGTTCTCATGCTGTCACCAGGCACATGGAACAGTGTACGCCCTTACAGGTTTTTGGTTTTATGCACTGAGTCTGGTATAAGTTTTGTGCTTTTCCTCAGCAGAATCTCCCTTGCTAGCCACTGTCCCAGGTTAGGGTCCACTAACTCAGTTTTCAATATAAACTTGACCCTGACTCAGCTGATTCTAGGCCAGCCTGAGGCCCAGAACCTCAGAAAATGCACTCTGTAAGGGGCTAGCAGCCCAAGTACAGACAGAGAACAGGGGCTTGTCTGGCTGCAGCCATACCCCAAGCCCCAGCCTCCATCTCCTGGGCCTGTATGATGTTATTCCCCAACCCTCTGCCCCCTCCTAGGGGAGCCCTGATCTGGGAAGCCTAGGGCCTGAGAGTTTTGGTTTATTTCTAGGGAGCTTTGTCACCTTTGAGGCAGTGAGTGGGTGAGAGAGGGATTCTGACGGCTGGGAGGGCCTTCCAGCTACTTAGATCCCTGCACGTCCAGACTTCCAATCCCAGGTCTGCCTGAAATCCCCTGTGACCGGTAGGGAAAAAAGAAGGTCTTGCTTTCTCAGATAAGTCCCACATAGGGCAGAGAAGGCAGGGTGAGGCCAAAGGTTGTCACTTCTATGGGGCTGATAAGCAGGGGTGTGTCAAATGCTGGATCCAGGGAAGTTCCTGGACATGTCTGCTGGACTTGGAGATGGGCTGAGGCTTGGCAGAGAGAAAAGGCAAGGAGAGGCCAGAACTATGACCCCAGGCTGGAAGGATCTGTGCCCCCATGGGACTGGCAAAGCGCTGAGAGCAGGAAACACTCCTCCAACTCCAGCTAGGGGTTGAAGGGATGGCCCCAGGGGCTTGGACAATGGGTTGGAGGCATGCAGGGTGTTGATTTTGTGGCTGCCACTGGGTTAGAATAACAATAACAATAACAAAATGGTAAACAATTACTTACTGCAGGTTGGGCACTGTTATAAGCACACTGCAGATATTAACTAATTAATCCCCTAACACTATGAGGCAGGCCCTGTTATTGCCATCATCTTACAGATGGGGAAATGATTAGATAATGATTAGATAATCATGGTCACAGACCATGAAAAGAGTGAAGTCAAAATGAGAGAGAGCCAGCCTTGGTGACGGAGAGCCCATCTGAGCTGGCATAAAAGAAAGATTGTTAGGGGCTGGATTCCCAGGAGACCCTCAGGAGGTAAATGCAAGGCAGCAGAAGGCCTGAGGAAACTTCCTTGCCTAGAGGGGCTGGAGGAAGGTGGGGGGATCCAGGCCTGTAGAACTCTAAGCAGGTTCTGGAAGGGATAGTGTCTTGGAATTCCACCTGCTGAACCAGCAGGGCCAGGCTGACTCCCTCCCCAAGGTGTCCTCACAGGCCTTCTGCAGCCCACAGGTCCCACCCTACCATCTCCTCCCAGCTTTTCCTGGGCACGGCCAGGCATGTGGCCATCTGTTTGTTAGAAATGTTTACTGCCTCCTAACTGCACGTCTCTCCTTCCCTCCCCACTGGCCCATCAGCCAGGAGGGCAGAAGCTGAATCTCGTATACTACTACATAACAACTAGTGTAAGAAACTGCCTAAAACACAGTAGGTGCTTCATAACTGTTGCATTGGTAGGTGGATGGATGAATGAATTTGTGAATGAATGAAAGAAATCCTTTGTCTTGACGAACAACCCAAACAAGCTTGTTAAGACTTTCTTTTAGGTCATAAGTGTCCACTGTTTTCGTCTGCCCAGCACATCTTTTTCCTTCTACTGCCAAAGTCTGTGAAGCCACAGGCTGACCTCGCACCATATCCAAGGCCGAGCATAGTGGCTTACTCCTTGAGCATGGGCACTTGGAAGTAAGTCTAGGCAGACGTTTTTCTGGGACTTTCTGAAGCAGAGCTTGTGGGAACACATGAGTCAAGAGATAAGTGTTGATGAGGAAGTGGAGAAAAGGGAACCCTTGCATACAGTTGGTGGGAAAGGAAATTAGCAGAACTGTTATAGAAAATAGAAGTTCCTCAAAAGTTAAAAATAGAACTACTATATGGTCCAGAAATCCCAGTGGGGAAATATGAAATCAGTATGTTGAAGAGACATTTGCATGTTTATTGCAGCCCCATTCACAATAGCCAAGATCTGGAATCAACCTAAGCGACCATCAGTAGATGGATGGATAAAGAAAACATGGGATATGCATGTAGTGGAATACCAGTCAGCCTTAAGGCAAGAAGGCCATCTGGTCATTTTCAATAATGTAGATGAACTTGGAGGACAGTAGGTTAAGTGAAATAAGCCAGGCACAGAAAGAAAAAAATACTATCTGATCTCACTTACATGCGGAGTCTAAAAAAAGTCAAACTTGTGGAAAGCAGAGAGTAGAATGATGATCACCAGAGACAGAGGAGAGAGGAAGGAATGTTCAAAGGATAAAAATTTTGGTTAAAAGGAATAAGTTGAAGGGATCTATTGCATGGCCGGGTGACTGTAGTGAATAACGTTGCATTATGTACTTGAAAACTGTTACAAGGGTAGGTTTTAAGTGTTCTCACCAAACAAGATGATATTTATGATAGCTCACAAAATATGTGTGATACCGTGTATGTTAATTAGCCCAATTTAGCCATCCACTGTTATAGGTGAAGAGCATATATGTCTTTGCCTCTGCCGTTTCTGAGAGTGAGCATGTACAAATCTTGCCTGGCACAATTTAGGAGAGACTGAGACAGAACTCCATTTAGCTTGGCACCAAGGAGGTAAAATTCCCGTGCTCAGGCCAGGGGACTGGGGGCGTGTAGGCTCGTCACTGGCAAGTCGCCAGGATCTCCAAATTGTGGTTTTTGCAAGGTTAAGATACTGCCTCCAGATGGCTGGAGGCTGCAAAGAGTAGAACAATCAGCCTTTTTTCCCCTTAGCAGTTTCCATATCTATCAAAAAGTGGGCTATGGAGTTAACAGTTCGCTTCTTCATGGCTACTATTTTGAGTATAATAGATAACTTAGAAGAACGTGTCTCACTAAAAAAGTTAGTCTGTTTTTTACAATAAGTTAGTGAGGTAATGGTATGAATATTCATAACAGCATGTACATGCAGCATCGACTACTTAAGCTGGGGAGAAAGAAAGAAATTTGCTATTTGCCGTCCAGAGAGCAGTAGCCCTCTTTATGCCATACAATTCCAATGCAAGTCTACACCTGCGTCACCCACCACTTGTAAGAAACTTCACGCAACACACAGTGTATACCTATTCCAAAACGTCACGCATATGTAAATATACATGGTAAGGCCTCCATTCCTGTGGGTTTACACCCAGGAAGTCAAATAACATCAAATCGACAATGTTCGAGGGGAAGAAATGCCACCAAGTTTCAAAAAGCAAAGTGTGAATTTGCAGCATGTCAAGTGCTCTGCTGAACTCATATGAATGAAGTGATGCATAGCATTGTATTACAAGCGATCTAGAGATGACCTATAGTATAAGGGAGGATTGTATAGATGATATGCAAATACTATATTATTTAAGGGACTTAAGCATCTTTTGATTTTGGTATGCGGGGGTTCTGAAACCAATCTCCCATGGATACTGAGGGGTAACTGTACAATTTTTGTCAGTTTAAAAAAATGTTCTATGAGCCTGATAACATTTTCAAGGAAGACCAGTGGAGATAAAGAGTATATGAATTCTAAATCACTAGAGAAGGTGTAAATGGTATAAAAACAACCAAATCAACCCTCAATCAGTTTTTAAAAATTAAATAAAAAGAAAAGCATAGAAAAAATGGGACAAATGTAATATTGTAAAAGATGGTATTTAAAACAGCAAGACACTGTCAAAAAAGAATTTCAGAGTCCAAATTCATTAATAATGACAATGAAGAGAAAGGAAGTAAAGTTCAAAGACAGGTTGTCAGATTAGATTTCAAAAATACTAAAACACAATGTTGGCTCTATGTTGCTTACGAGAGACACAACTGGGCGGAGCCTGTGGCTAAGTGGGTAGGGCACCGGCCCCATATACTGGGGTGGCAGGTTTGAACCCGGCCCCAGCAAAACTGCAATAAAAAATAGCCGGGCGTTATGGTGGGCACCTGTTGTCCCAGCTACTAGGAGGCTAAGGCAAGAGAATCGCCTAAGCCCAGGAGTTTGAGGTTGCTGTGAGCTGTGACACTACAGCACTCTACCAAGGATGACAAAGTGAAACTCTGTCTCAAAAAAAAAAAAAAAAAAAGAGAGAGACATACCTAATGAATAAGGATATGGAATTGGTTGAAGGTCAAAGGGTGGAAAGGATATAGTAGGCAAACACCAAAAGAAAGCTTGAGAATCATATGCATATCAGAGAAAAAGGAATTTTAAGACAAAAACTTACATCACGGATGGAGTGAGTATCTAGATCAGAAAGTCAATTCACTAGGAAGTTCCAAAAGTTTTAAATTGATAAGCGCCTAAGTTAAAAGAACTACAGAGAGGTAAAATTACCATCATGACAGGACATTTTTACATATATCTCTTCATTTCTAATACAGACAAATAAAATGTAGTAAAATCAGTAAATGGACAGAACAGCTGAAACACAATATAAAAGCTTGAGCTGCATTTATAAATTAGAGAATACAAATTCTTCAAGAAGATAAGTTTTAAAACCCCTATATATTTAAAATTTTAAAAACACACTCTAAATAACACATTGGCCCAAGAAGAAATCATGATGACGCATTTATAAATTCCTAGGAGTGGGTGATAATGAAAATGCCATATTAAAATTTGTGGGATGCAGCAAAAGTGGTACTTAGAGGGACATTTATAACTTTGACTGCTTGTATCGTTAGAAAAGCAATCTGAAATAAGCATCCAATTTATTAAGTAGTCTAGATCTTAGAAAAATAACAAAGTAAATCCAAGTGACAGGTAAGGGACTAGAGATGAGAGTGGGAACCAACCAAATGAAGAAAGTAAGCAAAACAACAAGTAAATCCAAAAGCAAAAAAAGGAAAAAGAGAGTATAATAAAGATAAGACCATGCTAGGCTCACACCTGTAATCCCAGCACTTTGGAAGGCAAAGGTAATAGGATCACTGGAAACCAGAAGTTTGAGACAAGCCTGGAAAACACAGAGAAACCTAATCTCTACATAAGAATAAATAAATGGGCTCGGTGCCTGTAGCCAAGTGGCTATGGTGCCAGCCACATACAGCAGAGCTGGAGGGTCTGCCAAACAACAATGACAACTACAACCAAAAAACTAGCTGGGCATTGTGATGGGCGCCTGTAGTTCCAGCTACTTGGAAAGCTGAGGCAAGAGAATCGCTTGAGCCCAGGAGTTGGAGGTTGCTGTGAACTGTGATGCCACAGCACTCTACCCAGGGCGACAGCTTGAGGCTCTGTCTCAAAATAATAATAATAAATAAATGAATAAAATATTAGCTGGGCCTGATAATTGTGCACCTGTAATCATAGCTGCTTGTGAGCCTGAGCTTAAGCCCAGGAGTTTGAGGCTGCAGTGAGCTTTGATCATGTCACTGCACTCCACCCTGGGCCACAGAGTGAGACCCTACTTCTAAAAAGAATATAAAATTTATTTCATCTTTAAAAGAGCCAAAATTATTAAAATAGAAAACAAATATATGGTAAGAGACGATTCATGAAATAAAAGTTAGTTCTTTGAAAAGAAACTAATAGAATGGCCAAGTCTCTGGTGAAATCTATTCAGAAACCAAAAGAAGGCACAAGTAAACATTATTAGGGATGAAAATGGAAACATAACCATGTGATGAAAAAGATTATACAAAATCATAGACACAAAAAGTAGAGTAGTAGTTGTAGGGGCTGGGGGAGGGGAAATGGGAGGTGTTGAGTGGGTATCCAGTGTCAGTTGAGTTTCAGTTTCGCCAGATGAAAGAGTTCCGGAGATGGTTTGCAAAACAATGTGAACATGCTTAACATTATTGAACCGTACTTTTAAAGACAGTTGAGATGGTACACTTTATGTTAAGTACATTGTGCCATGATTAGAACTAATAATAAGATTATAACTAATTTATGCCACCAAATAGGAAACAAAGAAGACCAAATCTTAGAAAAATATAACTTAAACAAACTTTAGAAGAGATCATAAGCCCGAATGGTTCCATAACTATTAAAGAAATTGAATCAAGAGTTTGAAATCTTCCCACAAAGAAAACACCAGGTCCAGACATTTTATAGAAGTTCAAGGCTCGGCGCCTGTGGCTCAACCGGCTAAGGCGCCAGCCACGTACACCTAGGGTGGCGGGTTCGAATCCCCAGCCCGGACCCGCCAAACAACAATGACGGCTGCAACCAAAAAAAAAATAGCCGGGCGTTGTGGCGGGCGCCTGTGGTCCCAGCTACTTGGGAGGCGGAGGCAGGAGACTCGCTTGAGCCCAGGAGTTGGAGGTTGCTGTGAGCTGTAATGCCATGGCACTCTACCCAGGGGGACAGCTTGAGGCTCTGTCTCAAAAAAAAAAAAAAAAAAGAAGTTCAAGTTGGGGGCGGGGGCTTTCACTATGTTCCCCAGCTTAGCCTTGAACTCCTGGACTCACGAGATCCTCCCACTTCGGCCTCCTGAGTCATTGGGACTACAGGTATGTACCACTGTGCCTGGCTCCTAATTCCAATTTTATAAAAACACTTCCTGAGAATGGAAAAAATAGAAATATTTTCTAACTCTCTCTACGAGACCTGTGTGACCTTCATAATCAAAAAGAGTCAAGTACAGAACGAGAAAGGAAAATTAGAAGCCAGTTTCACTCATATAATATAATATATTATATTATAAATAATATTATATATAAATGCAAGAATTATAAGAAAAATAAATCAAATCTGGTAGTGTACAAAAAACGTAAGACATCACATTTGAATGGGATTTATCTCAGGAATGCAAGGGTGGTTTAACAATAGAAGAAAGTTAGCCCAGCGAGCATTGTGGAAGGCGCCTGTAATCCCAGCTACTTGGGAGGTTGAGGCAAAAGAACCGCCCAAGCCCAGGAGTTGGAGGTTGCTGTGAGCTATGATGCCACAGCCCTCTACCGAGGGTGATAAAGTAAGAAAGCCTATAAAAGTTATTTATCATGTTGGCAAAGGTATATTTTGGTACTCTGGGCCACCTTACTTTTGCCCTCCTTGGATCAGAGAGAGGAACAGAAGTAAGACAGCACAGAGTTCCAAAGCTTCGAGAATACCCTTCAAGCTTATCTCACATTTCTTTTTGCTTTTTAACTCTGGATCTTCTTCAATGCTTTCGGAGCAACTTATTTGCCCGCTAGTCAGTCCTAGAAGTGTAGGGGGAGTCAAGTCCCTATGATGCAACCTTGACCCAGTGGAGGACAAAAGCCAGAAGGTACATATCCCAGCCTCCTCCTTCCCAGTGGGTGGCTCGGGGAGGCATCCTGCAGCCTTATCTGAGGATCAGGGGAAGAGCCCCTGGGCTGCAACATTCGTCATGCTCTTCCTCCTGTCCTGACTCATTCTTCCTGATCCTTCAGTCGCTGCTCCCTGGAATCACCTCTCAAATAGCCTATCTGAATCCGAGTCTTTGTTCTAGGCTAGTGAAGGAATCCATACTAAACACTTACATTCATAAATTTAGGAAGAAAAATAGTTCATTATCTCAGCAGAGCTAGAAAAAAATTTTTGATGATATTCAACACCCTTTCATGATGAAAGCTCCTCATAAATTAGAAGGAAACGTCCTTAACCTGACAAAGAAAACTGACATAAAACTTCTATATTATTTCTAACAACTAAATCTTAGGAGAATTTCCTTTAAAAGAAGGATCAGACGAGGATGCCCATGACCTCTGCCCCTGTTAAACACTGTAAATGTCTTCCTAGACCTTGCAGTAAGATTAAAAGAAAAAGAAGGAGAAGAAAAGAAAGGAGAGAAAACTATAATATTAGGTAAAAAATTCAAAAGATTCATCAGGCAAACAATCAAAATAATAAGAGATTTTAGCAAGTCAACTATAAGATCAATATCCAAAAATAAGTTGCCTTTGTGTTTACCAGTAACATACAAAAGTATAATTTCAAAAACGTACCATTTGCAACGATCAAAAAAGTAGAGGCAGCAGGAGTGGGGGGGCCGTGGTGGGGGGCGCCGGTGGGTGGTGTCGAGGCCTGCTGGGGTGGAGGCACCCTCCACAACACTTTTCCAGCCAGGTCTGGATGAGAGAGGATACCCGAGAAGGGTGAGGTCTAGGAGAACAGGTCTTCTCAAGGAGACCACCAGGATACACCTGCAACGTCCTCTCCATGGTGACTCAGTTCTTGGGAATTTGTAGACTTAACTTCCTGAAACTTGGAAATTTCCACTTCTGTGAAATCCTGTAGCTCTGTTGGGGGCTGGAATAGCATCTCCCACTTGATTCAAACTGGCCAATGAGAAAGGTCCCTGTGGGTTGGAACTTTTTGACTGGAGATAAAAAGAGAAAGACCAAGCTGGTCGGGGAGCATGGCCATTTGGAATTCTTCTATGCTGTAAGGCCCTGGCTAGTGGATAAAGCCCTTCCTCTTATAAACATGGTGTTTGGGGGCTCTTTCTCTCAGGTGGGCCTCGTCTTCCTGCAACATGGACATGCCTGACCCTGTGAGGTAAAAACTTCAATGGGAGCCTCCCTTCCTTAATAAAGTGGCGTGGAGGAACAGCTTTGAAACTCTTTTGAATGGAAGGATGAAAGCTATGTAGGAACCCAATGTGAATGGAAGAAATCCGTCATCATGCAAATGATACAACACTCTGAACAGACTCTAAAAACAGCTCTCATCTCAAAGAACCCAGTGCTTGTGTCACAGTATGAAAAATTAGATGCTGGGGAACAGGGTTTAATGAATGAAGCCTTCCGGCCAACCAGTGATCTCTTTGGACCCATTACCTTGCATTCCAGATCAGATTGGATCACTTCTCATCCTGAGGATCCCTAAGACTTTGAACAGTTTTTCAGTGATCCTCCCAGAAAGACACCCTCTCCTGGGAAGCACAGCATTTATATACAGTCCATGGGATCTTTAGGCAACACCAGAATTATCTGTGAAGAATATATTAAATGGCTCAAGGGCTACTGTGAAGCTTTTTTCTATGGCTTGACGGTAAAACTCCTAGAACGAGTTCCTGTTTCTGTGACAAGGTGTTCCTTTAGAGTCAATGATAAAACACACAACCTACAGATTCATGCAGGGTACATTCTGAAGTTCTTTTTTTTTGGACACAGAGTCTCACTATGTTGCCCTCTGTAGAGTGCTATGGAGTCATAGCTCACAGCAACCTCAAACTCTTGAGTTTAAGCGATTCTCTTGTCTCAGCCTCCCAAGTACCTGAGACTACAGGCTCCAGCCACAGGGCCCAGCTATTTGTTGTTGTTGTTGTGTTTATTGTTGTTTAGTAGGCCTGGGCTGGGTTCAAACCCACCAGCCTCGGTGCATGTGGCCGGCACCAGAACCACCATGCTATGGAGGCCGAGCTCATTCTGAAGTTCTTGAAGAAGAAGAAACCTGAGGATGCCTTCTGTGTTGTGGGGATAACAGTGATGGATCTTTACCCAAGAGAGTCTCAGAATTTTGTCTTTGGACAGGCCTCTTTGACAGATGGTGTGGGGATATTCAGCTTTGCCAGGAAGGGCAGTGATTTTTACAGTTTTTGCCACGAAGGCAAAGTAAAGATCCTCTAGAAAACATCTTTGAGCAACTCTTCCGTTTTTGATAACTATTATATTCCAGAAATAACTAGTGTTTTGCAGCTTTGATCTTGTAAGACTTTAACCCACCAGACTGGACACATATTTGGACAGCGACACTGCCAGTGGCTCACCTGCCTAATGCAAGGTTCCAAGCACTTGAAAGAAGCTGACCGGCGCCCTCTAAACCTTTGCCCTGTCTGCTTACGCAAGTTGCAGTGCGCTAGTGGCTTCAGCATTGAGGAAAGATACAAGCACCGGTGAGATGGATCGATGATGAATCTGCTGACACCCCTGGAGTAACTCTGAAACACAGTTGGGAGGATAGTGGGAATTTACCAAAACCCATTGAAGCCTTCAAGGAATGGAAAGAGTGGATAATGAAATGCCGTGCTGTTCTCCAAAAATAAGGACCTTCAATTAGGAGTAATTAAAATAAACTTGCACATTCTGCTTTCATTTGGGTGGAGTACTTCACTGGAATAAACCATATACTGATTCTGTGCTGTGCCCAAGTAACAGGACAGAACCTATTTATTTATTTATTTATTCTTTGAGTCAGAGTTTCACTACGTTGCCCTTAGTAGATGTGGCGTCACAGCTCACAGCAACCTCCATCTCTTGGGCTTAAGGGGTTCTCTTGCTCCAGCCTCCAAAGTAGCTGAGACTACAGCTGCCCACCACGAAGCCTGGCTATTTTTTTGTTGTCGGGGTCATTGTTGTTTAGCTGGCCCTGGCCAGGTTCGAACCTGCCAGCCTCAGTGCCTATGGCTGGCACTATAACCACTGTGCTACGGGTGCCAAGCCACACAGAACCTTTTTAAAGCACCTGAATTGAAATGAGACTCATTTTGAATAATACAAATGCTATAAACTGTGAAAAAAAGAAAGTAGAGGAATAAATCTAGCAAAACTTAAAAGTCTAAGATCCACAGTAAGAAAACTTTTAAAAAGAGATTAAAGACAATCTAAATAAATGGAGAGAGAAGACTCATGTTCTTGGACCGAAGGTTCAATATTTTAAAGAGGTAAATTCTTCCCTAACTAATCTACAGATGCAGTGCAATTCCAATTAATCCCAACAGGATCGTTCATGTCAATTGAAAATTGATTTTAAAATTTATATGGAAGAACAAAAGGACCAAAACATCCCTAACGAAGAAGTAGTGAGGGATTTTCTTTGCTAGATATTAAGGTTTTCTATAAAATATGGTGTAAGTGTAGATATGGGCAAATCAACTGATAGAATGAGCAGAATAATGAACCCAGAAATAGACTTACACTTGTATGAAACTTTGAGCCATGACAAGGGTGGCACTGTGTTGTATGTCACATACGCTTTTTTATGTGTTACATAGCATGTTTTTCCCAAAAGAATACAAAGGGCAAAGAGAAATTCCTGCATGTCTAGAAAGCAGAAGAGACTCCTGGGACTGTGCACCCTCTAACCGGGGTCTAGAGGTCCTCCTAGGATGGCCCCCTCTAACTGAGGCAGGTGGGGTCCTGGGACTGTGCACCCTCTAACCGGGGGCTAGAGGTCCTCCTAGGATGGACTCCTCTAACTGAGGCAGGGCTCCTGGGACTGTGCACCCTCTAACTGGGGGCTAGAAGTCCTCCTAGGATGGACCCTTCTAACTGAGGCAGGTGGGGTCCTGGGACTGTGCGCCCTCTAACCGGGGGCTAGAGGTCCTCCTAGGATGGACCCCTCTAACTGAGGCAGGTGGGGTCCTGGGACTGTGCGCCCTCTAACTAGGGGCTAGAGGTCCTCCTAGGATGGACCCCTCTAACTGAGGTAGGTGGGGTCCTGGGACTGTGCGCCCTCTAACTAGGGGCTAGAGGTCCTCCCAGGATGGACCCCTCTAACTGAGGCAGGTAGGATTTCACTGAATGAGACTCATCAAGAACCCGCAGTGCCCGCCCTGAGGAAAGGGGTGTCCCTTCCTTAAGCAGCAGCCCCCAAGGCCCACGTGGGCTCACAGATAAGGAGGCAGCCCCACGTTTCTAAATTGGTCACCTGGACGGCAGAGCAGGAGAGGAGAGAGAGAAGGAAGACAAAACAGAGGGAAGCAAAGGTGGGTCCAAGGACTCAGAGACGGCACAGGGACTGGAGCTTCACAGGCTGTGGGACGTCAGGCCAGAGGAGCTCCCAGCGTACTTCCTGGAGGAACCTGAGGCCCAGAGAGGAGAAGGGACTAGAACTCAGACCTCGGCACCGTCCCAAACCTGTTCCACGCTGCCACGCTTCGTGGGAGGGCAAGTGAATAGCTCAGACTTACCCCTGTGGGCTCTGGGTCTGCCGCCTGCCTGCAGAAAAGCAGTGATGAGGCCTGTGTGGCGCAGCTGCCACTGGAGGCCACAAGTTCAGCCAGCAGATTTGTTATTCAACCTTCTCCCTCAATAACAAACTCCCCCGCTCGAGTCACGTGTTTCCTGTGCCCAGGTTCACACCCCAAACTAACCTCATTTAAGCTCCACTCCTCCTTTTTTTCTTTAAACTGTGGTAAAATACACATAGTGAAATTCTCCATTTTAATCACTTTAAAGGGCAGAGTTCAGTGGCCTTAACTCCGTCACCGCCCTTGTCCAGGACTCTTCATCTCCCCAAACTCAGACTCCCTACAACAGAGGATCCCATTCCCTCTCTGTCCCTGGCCCCTTCCCTCTGTACCTGCCCCCCCCCCCAGAGCCCCCATCCCTCTTGCTGCCTGAGGGAACTTTGACTAAGTGGCTCATACAATATTGTCCTTTTCTGTCTGTCTTATCTCACTCAGCACAATATCCTCAAGGCTCATCTGTGATATAGCATGTGTCAGAATTTCATGTCTTGTTAAAACAGGTCAGACCTTTAGGTTCCCAAACTCATTCTAGAAAAAGCTGCATAGCTCATTGTCGAGTATCGCCACGGTCACCTTCGAGGTACGCCCCCGGGGAAGCTATGTCCTGACACCAACATCTAATCCACCTTTCAAAGCAATTTTGAAACTCTTTTTTGGGAATGGCCATCAGAACTGTCATTGTGCACGTCCTTACAATTAAACTTGTGAACTCATCTTAGAAAAGGTGCTACATCCCTCACTGCTGAATATCATGACGGTCTCCAGATGGTCAAGGGCAGTACTTCGGAGGTGACCGTCATGATATTCAGCAACGCGGTATGTGGTGCTTTTTCTAGGATGACTTTGCAAACCTACTTGTCCGACCCCCTATGCTGTGGTTTGTGTATCCATTCAGTGTCAACGGACATTTGAGTTGTTCCCACCTTCGGCCGTTCTGAATCATGCTGCTATAAGCACGAATGTACAAATACCTATCTGAGAGCCTCTTTCAGTTCTTGTTTTATTGAGACAGAGTCTCACTTTGTCACTCTCAGTACAGGGCCATGGCATCATAGCTCACAGCAACCTAAAACTCTTGGGCTTAAGCAATTCTCTTGCCTCGGTCTCCCAAGTAGCTGGGACTACAGGCGCCCGCCACAACGCCCTGCTTTTTTGTTGTTGTTATTTGTTTCTTTTTTTTGTTTAGCAGGCCTGGGCTGGGTTTGGGTTTGAACACACCAGCCCTGGAGCATGTGGCCAGCTCCCTAGCCACTGAGCTAGGGGCGCCTCCCCGCCCCTCCCACTTTCAGTTCTTTCGAGTGTGTCTGGGGAAATTCTCCTCTGGGGAGAAGTGGAATTGCTGGATCATATGGCAACTCTATGTTTCAGTTTTTGAGGAGCTGCTATCCTGTTTTTCTTTATTACCTCTTTTGATGTGCAGTGCCTGCACTAATTGGGGCCCTGGATGAATGAAGCGGTCCCAGTGTGACTGGCCTGATGAACAAAAATACTTTTTTGTAGTTCTCTTATGTATCAAGCTCCCAGGCCAGTAAAATTGGATTTGCTTACCAGAACTTTGTCACTTTCTACTTCCCGGACCCATTCCCTTTTGTGCCCCTTTTTCTCCAGAAATGGAGGAGCCTCCTTGCAGCCATGAGACAACTACAAGGCCTTACACCACCTGGTTGTCCACAGAAGACAGGATAAATGACACCCTACTGCACATCATGCCCAAGGACCTGCTGAGCAGCCTACCCCCCATATCTTGCCTGTGCACAAGAGCAAGAGAACGACCAATATTGACCCTTAGCTCAATACACTGTAATACTAAAGCCTCCTCCCGCTTTAGTATTAAGGGGCTTACCCGCTATCTTTTTCCCATGCAACGTATGTACTAGCACGATTTCGTGCTGCATTTGCATGCCCTGCACTCTGCCCCAAGCACGTAATTACGCTCACTCACTCCATGCACTGTTCATTTCACCCCTAGTAAAAGCCCTGACCCTGTTGGTCGGGGAGGCAGATCTGTTCTGTGTGTGAGCAGCAGAAGGAACCCCCCCCTTGCACACTTGGTAACACCAGGATGAGCCCCTCCTGTTCCCTGTGTCAAGCTCGTGAGCATCTCAGAGCTGAGTCTTCCCTGCTGTGACACCCCATAAAAACCTACTATCAATTAACAGCCATCCCTTTCTTCAGATTCTTCATGTCTGCTGGCTCATCTAGACATTTCTTTTCTTTTCTTTTCTTTTTGAGACAGAGTTTCACTATGTAGCCCTTGGTAGAGTGCCGTGGTTGCTCACAGCAACCTCCAACTCTTGGGCTGAAGTGATTCTCTTGTTCCCCAAGTAGCTGGGACTACAGGCACCTGCCATAATGCCTGGCTATTTTTTTGTTGTAGTTGTCATTGCCGGGCTCCATCCCACCTGCCTTGGTGTATGTGGCTAGCACCCTAACCACTGAGCTACAGGCGCCAAGCCACACCTAAACATATCTTAAAAATTACTCTAGCAGAGTGACATTGTACAACTACATGGAAAGTATGGAAGCTGGGCACAGAGGTGAGTGCGGGCAGCAGCAAAGCTCACCAGTGAGAGAGGATCTTACTCCACAGCCAACCTCATGGCGCATACTACTGAAACCTCTGCCCTGGCAGAGTCACGAAGTAGAGCATGTCAGGAACCAAGTGGACAGTCAAAGCCCCGAATGCTGAGGGTCTGCTGATTCTGGTGCGATTTCTCCTGGTGCTTTTCTGTTTCCGTTTCTTCACAGCAGTTGTTTTGGAATCTGTCATTCTGCTGGCAAAGCCAAACCAAAGTAGAAAGTTATGGGTGGGGAGGAGTCTTTGAGGGGCCCACATGCCTTTCCTGTTTGGTGACAACTGTCATAGACACAAATTGGGGTAGATGTCTCATTCTGACACTTTCTCTAGGAGTTAGTTACATCTGTATTTACTGTTTTATTTGAGGTAACCCCTCTTTTCTCTTCTTTAGACAGGTTTTTTGGGAGCTTCCATCTTTCTACTCCACCCTCCAGGCCAAATGACCAGTCCAACGTTGGCATCGTGGTACCCCACCTTTGGGTCTTTTCTTGCTTTTTGTTTTATTAACAAGTTGGGGAAAGAGTATCTTCTCCTGCCTGGTTGCAGATCTTGGCACAGATACTGCCAGAGGCCTGACCCCCACTCACTGGGGAAGGGAGGAGGTGGTCAGAGTGCACAGAGAATTCCTGAGGACTGTCCCCATAGGTGATTCCCAAGAGCCAATCCTTTTGCTTTTTTTGCCTAAACTGGTTTCAGCCAGTTTCTACCCAGAATCTAGAGTAAGAGTCTCTAGCACCTGCCGGTACAAGTTAATTCAGAGTAACATAGTCAGTAAAGGAAGGTTTCAGAATAAAATTGCACATTGCCTGGAATGGCTCTGGTACTGGTGACTTAATTTGGTGCTTCATTTTCATGACAGGAAGGTGGGTGAAATGGCATCGATGTTTTGAGAACATCTCCACACGTGCATATTTTGATCCAAGCTCTAGGAGGAAGTGATCTGGCATTTTGATGGTTGTTTTTCTAACTGTTGGTCTTTGAAAGCCAGATTGCATTGTACCAAGGAAAAGGTAAATGTGTGTAAGCAGTTCACTCGGGACAACTGTTCCTTCATAACTCAGACTTTCTCCACTTCGTCAGAGACAACCTCTTGCGGCATCCAGACCCCCCACAGTGCAGGAGCATAAAGAAGAAAACACCGGGGCTGGAGACGTTTGTGGAAAAGGACTGTAGTCACTGACGCTCCCTGGCATCCAGTCCTCTGATCACAAGCCCTAGCCTGGTCTGGGGTGGATGAAGGTTGCCCCCTGCTGGCGGAGCCTGTCTTAGGGAACCTAAGACTTCTGACAGGGGCACAGTGAGGCAGGTGGCTCAGTCTGTGAGCTCCGCCCAGAATCCCAGTGGTCCTCACTGGGCTGTCCCCTGCCCCTGGGGTCTGAGTCTTATCACCAGCAGCATTTCTGATTCTCCTAAATACCGGGCGCCCAGTTAAAATTGAATTTCAGATCAATTACAATTGATTCTTGACTACATACATTTATTTGATCTTCACTAGTCCGCTTATACATGGATTTTCTTTTTAACTGATAAAAAACACAGTATTCGAGGGAGCAAAAGCCACACACTCACATGGAGGGCTGACTTCTCTCAGTGTTCTGCAGGTCTGGCTGTAGGACTTGAGTGTGAGCAGATTTGGGGATAACAGGGGTCCTCGAAGCAATATCTCGGATATTCCACGAGGGATAAATGTATTTTTAGTAAGTCTCAAATACTGCACACTGCAATAGTTGCATATTGTGTGTGTAGACATATAGTATATGAGTGGACAGGGTTGTATTTTTAAGCCCTCCAGGTGATTCCAACAAACACAATGTTGAAAACCAGCACACAGGGCGGGTAAGCGGACAGAGGCGTGGTCTGGTTTGGTGCATGTGGGATCCGCAGGGGTCTGCTCTGGGCAGAGAGCAGTGAGAGTCATTCACAGACGTCCATTAGTCGGAGTGAGAGAGGAAAGGCCGAGGATGTCCCTCTTCAGAAGGGAGGGGTTCTTCATTTGGACCGTGAACAGTTACACTCCACGTGCATGCTGGCGCCTGACTGCAGCCTGACTCTGGTGGCCCCAGAGTCCTCTCCACTATGGCACAGAGCGCAGGGCAGAGCCATCTATACCACAGTACAGGTGTGAGCCTACCTAGAACTGTGACCTCCCTTTGAAAGCTGCACCCGCAGTTCTGCTGTTCTGCCACATAGCCAGGTTGAGACTCCTTTTCTCACCTCTTTGAGCATCGTTGAGCCAACTACCCCCCTTCACAGGCCTCCTCCAACTGTGTGGCTTCTGGGCAGATCACTTTCTGCCCTTGTTTGTTTCCTTTTCTTTTCTCCTCAGTTTCTGGTGCATTCTTCTTTGAACTACCAAGATCGTGCTAAGTAAATGTTTGTTGAATTTAATTAAGAGAGCAGCTTGGTTTTATGAGACATGTGTTTTATAGCAAGGATTTCCAAACCTGGAGCATGTGTCAGCCTCACTAGAGGA